ATACTTATTTATAACGTCTCTACTATGTCAACTAATTGATATACTTAGACACATAATAGCCTGTGAGACCATATAATTACGTTATACAAGACAATTTGTAAAGTCCTTGATAGCTTCAGTAGCTTATATATACTGTTTGTAAAGTAACAGTATTATATTCTACGGTCAAGGAAAATAAAATTGACCGTGAGGGATAATAATGATTTATTTTTTAGCCCATTAGGCCGATTGCTTGGCAACAAAATCATGGGACACAGAAAGCGATTTTTTATGTAAGGGGGTTACTAATAAACCTAGCATACAGTCTGTGACCGTCACCTATAGATATAAACAGTACAGTGCACAGCATTATCATGTGACCCTGTAATTTCACTGCCATATCTCAGCCTTCAATAGAAGCACAACTCACAAAACAAGCAGCTGGATTGCAAAAATTGGTGAGACAGAGAACTTTTAGCAAAACCAAAACCAAACTCGGTAAATACCTAACTCTCAATGTTAAAATTTATTTATTATAGCATATATTTATCCAATTACATCTAATTGACTACTAATATAGATCAACACACACAATGTTCCCCTTGAGATCGCCGACGTCAATTTGTGTTTTAGAGATCATTTTATAAAATATACTATGTTATATATGTACGTTTAATACAATGCATAGTGCTTCTAATTTTGATATATATCACTTGTAATTTATGCATGCCTCCATAAATTACAAGCGATATATATCAAAATTAGAAGCACTAGGATCTTCTGTAGTATATATACATGTGACGAATATTAAACGTGATTTGCGCTACTAGAGTGATTCAACAAGGAGTCTCTAAAACGGCGCAAATTTGTTGCAAAACAGAACTCTCAAAGTCTTTACCGTATGCCCACTTTACCAGCTTTTATACCCATATAAACATTTTTTAATTAATAACTGTTTATTATTCAGTTCATAAGCATGCTCAACAACATAATTTATGACCGGTACACTGAAATGCGTTATCGCTAGGAATAAATTCTTGAAATTAAAATAGGCTTTCCTTTTTGATTTGGGAACTGCGTTTTTTTTTATTGGAATCGAAACAAACTTATTTACATACGTGTACAAACAGATTTTTTTATGTTATAAAAAACTATGTACAATAATATAATTGTGTTTACTATTTTCTCTCTCTCTTTCTGGAATTTAATAGTTTCGGTGGTAAACCGGTTTAGTAGACCGCTTTTATTCAATAGGTATGGTCGCGAATTCAACTATTGCACAAAATAAATATATATATTTATAAGTATGATTACTTTCTCTTTATTGTACATTACTAATTATAAAAAAATGTAAATCAATCTTAAGAAAAAATTTAATACAATGGAGGACTTATTAGGATAAGTCCTCCATTGTATTAAATTTTTTCTTAATTTAATAACTGGAATAAATCGCTCATATAGGTATGAGCGATTTATTCCAGTTATTGTACCTAGTGGTTGTTTGTACTGTCTGTATATTTTCTATGTATATTATGAATATATTTACAAAAAAGAATTTCTGCTCTGTATAGCTAAGATCTAAATGATTCTGTTTTATCCTGGGTTATTATTATTTGTACGGCCACTTTGTATAATAATTTGTGTGAATTTTACAGCGAAAGTAAGACCATAAGCTATAATAATATATAAATTTCATTGTCTTATACTCTCTGCACTGCAACGGTTAATTGCTAGAGAACCATATTAGGTATATGTGTCAAAAATAAATAATACAAGAAATAAAGACCATAACTTGTTACACACGAAACATATTTTGATAAGTGTGTATAACTGCCTGATTCCCATTTATTGAATTTTAACACTTCAACTTAAACTGTTACATTTTCTAATTAACACCTTTATATTTTAGCATAGACTGAGAAAATTTGTGATGGTTTACATACGACTTCTTCATAGGACTTAATGTGTCAAGTAAGCGATAACGAATCATAAACTCTAAAACTAGTATTAATGCGAAAATAAAGTATATCTACCAGTAAACTAAGTTTACTACTTTAGTCATAAAAGTCAACGCGCTTAAATTATTTATTGAATTGCTGTCATATCAGGCTATAGACTGTCGTGTCATGATAATAAATGTTCAGGGTTCTTTATGAGAATACAGTATTTCACAAAAAAACACAGTATAAACTATTTTTTAATTTCTATCATACATACGTATAATAGTGTAAAATACCTACATACAAAAACACCAAAACGCGAATAGTATATAAAAGCTCACAGTATTCCATAAAACCTATTTTTAGAGGAAACTGTCAATTATGATAATTTAAACAAATTACCGTAGTTATCTCACAAAATATGTAAAGTTTACACTAAAGACAACTAATAACCTATTAAATATTTTTTATATATCATACAAAGAGGCTCTAACATAAAGAAATACATTAAAGAGTTCAAACGTTTATAAGAGTATTGTCGGAGAACAAAATTCTCCTCTATTGCTTGCAATTTACCTTGTTAAATAGACGTCCACACATGCCCCCTGAAAGCTATTGTGGTTAATTTCTGTACTCGTACAACCAAACCCGCAACCGTCGGATGGTAAGGCAGTATGGAACCACTAAACCACTGTGGTTTAGTGGTCTTCACATTTATTTTGAATAACTGTCTATACACGATATGTTCTTCGACGTGATACGCGAGAAAGCGTGCGGGCTCTATCGTGATGTGAGTGATTGTTTTTATCTATATTTTATGTGTTTACTCCTTTTGCACGATTGTTCGTGTATTTTGATTTAACGAGGAAAACGGGTCGTGTAATGGAGGTTAACCAATTTTAAAATATATATTTAATAATGTTATAAAAAGTATAATCTTGTATATCGGCTCTATTTGGGTTTCTAGTCTCGTAAACCATCATATTTTGAGCGAGTTCTGCAGGTCAAAATTTCAGACAACGAGCATGTACAAGAACGAAAAGATATCGTATCGTTGATTAAAAATCTAGTTCGGTTGGTATCCTGGTGCCCCAACAGCGTATAAGTCTCGTTACTTCAGACGCGTATATCATTGCAAGAATGATCGTATAATATAAAGCGTGTGTGTAATGGAGAGACTTTATGCAAGCTAGATGCAAGAAAGATAAACAGTCTGTAACTGCGGTCACTCTTTCTCCTTTTCTTTCTCTACATGCGAATCCACATTCGCATAAAAAGGCAAGTAATGTGACTAAATATATTACATGAACATGCATCTGTTACAATACAACATGCTAAAATGTTATTATTAACATTTTTTATATTTATGTATAGTGTTATACTATAATTTTGTCGCTTGAGCACGATCGATTTTTTATAACCCACTCACACCGTGCATATTATGGATACACGCTACCTAATAATTTCGCCACCTAATAGTATATAATAAGCATAAAATATTTTTTTTTACTCTAATGTTCTTAGGAATTCGTACACATAAATGTAAGTATTTCATAGTATTTCCTAAATTATGTATCTATGCCTACCTATAAAATCCTTTGATGATTGACTATCAACGCACAGATAAAACTACTGAGTCTAGAAAGCTCAAATTTGGAATATTTGGAATAATAGTTTATATTAAGAATTAGAAAAATAACTTCTATTAAGTTTATATTAAATTATGTAAGCATCCGCTATGAATGGATTTTTTAACTTTAAATTTAATTATACCATACAAACAAAGGCAACTGCTATTGTGAATATATTATTACAACTTGATGACTTCTAGTAATGAAATTTAAAATGTGACAAAATAAATATTATCTAATAAGTAAACAACATAGAATAATTTGATTTGCCAACGACCATATGAATAGTTAAAATAAATTCTATTTCGGCTCATAAATTACATAAGACCCATACCAATCATTCAGAGAGTTTATTGGTTCAATATATCCCGATAAAAGGAAGAATGTATTGAATTAAATTTTATCCCTTTCGAGCTGTATGGAATTTATCCGGATATAGTACACGGATAAATTCCGTGTAGTACAATATATTTTTGAAATACCTAGTACATTTGTTTTAAAGAATATATACAGTTTCATAAATAATACAAAATATATTTGGCAACAATACCCAATTATTAGAGATATATGATATCGCTGGTCCGATTTTAGTTGTATGTACAAATTCATAAAAATAATCATATATCATTAGTAGAAAAGGTCAATTGTCTCTGATTATATTATGAACAAAAACTAAGGGACATTAGCGAATCACCAGGAAGTTGCTAAAGTTTTATAACATTAACTTTGAGATATTATGCTAGCAATAGTGAATAAAATAATTATAGAAGAACTAGAGACCCCCGACTATTGATTCCCTTAATTTTGAACTTTGTGAAACATATGAAATATTATATTAATGGACTAACATAATATTTCATATATTCACACATTGGTCTATTTTTTTTAAATAGAATATTCTGAGTTTATCCGTTACAATCAAACATAAACAATGTAATCTTTCTTCTTAATAATATTAGTATAAACACAGATAAGATAATTACAAAGTATACATTTAAACTCTTTAGAAACAAATTTTATATGATAGTTTCCACGATCCCGCACCGAGTAACATTCGTTAACTATGTAATCATGGGCAAATGAGACAAATTTAATGGAGTTCCAGTGTAATAGCTCCTATGACTACTTTCTGACTACCAAGCTCATCAAACCAGTTCATTATCATGATAGTAATGCATTGTCAACGAAATTTTCAAATAATCATATTCAGATTAGAGAAACTGATATGGAATTCATAAAAGGACTTGCACACACGCAAATAAACAATTTATAGAGTTATTTAAGTAAATAATTAAGCTCTGAGCATTAAAAATATTTAAAATCTAAATTAAATGGCATTTATTATACTAGACAATTTAACATTCGTATGTTAGATATTTTAACTCTTTTATGCATTATAATAAGATGACTATCTATATATATTTATAGTGTATAAAATAATGGTACTTACTTAGTACCAGCCACAGGCTGCCAAACAGCGTCGAGCGGCGCATGCGCAGGTGGAGGCGGTTCACCCGTATCCCCATTCCCTGTCTCCGTCCTGCCTTCCCAACCCTAGAAAAAAAATAACATAAATGTAGGCATAGACTGTGAAAAGTCTTCTGCATGGTACCTCACTCTCACCTATTTCACAAAGCAGCTTGCATTGTTAGCTGTGTTTCGGCTATAGCTTGAGATTAGGTATTGAAATTACAACATAAGAGGCATGACCTCTTAGTCTTCTTGAATGGCAATGTTTAAGTGGCATCACGGGTGCCATATGATATCGTGATGCCCATAGTGCTGTTCATGTATATTGGCGACCGTTACCGCTTACCATCAGGTTGGCTGACAGCTTTTCTGCCATCCTAATTACATAAAATTAAATATTGTAGAAAGATACATGGATCAATTATTATGTACGTTATCTGATTTGAAAAGAGTTAACTAAGTTTCAGGTAGTTCTTGTCGGCTTGAACTACATTCAGAATAAACGGTGGATTTATAGAATATATATAGTCATCATAAGTACATGTATAAGATCTACCAGAATTAGGATAAATGTCTGCTTGGATACCGCTATCGCCAGCATCTGGCTTTGTAGGCCGTATTCCGTGAGATAAGCAGCAGAAAATTACAGAATATGCAGTCATAATACCAACAAATGGCAACGTACGAATGATACTACGAGCGTATATCCGTCCAAAGCTTGTATATAGGCGGCGGTTACACTTACTGTTAGGTAAGCTGTCAGCTTGTTTGCTAGAGTTGATAAATTAGGGGCACTCTTTATAATTTATATTACATTATTAATAGTACATAATTCATGATATACACAAGCACTGAATGTAAGCGCTGTAGCAAATTGCTGTAGTGATATTATTGATAATTTGAAACCATAGTGTATTTATGACAATATACTCGTATAATAGCGTGTATGACGAGTAGAAATATTATTTAGTATTGGGGGCTAGTGGCTAATTGCTAGCAATCGCAACCTAATACGTATGTATTAGGTTGAGTATATATATAATATAATAAGTGTAAGGTATCTTACACCTATTATATTATATATATACTAATATAGCACAAATGAAACACGTCAATGCAATAGTCCAATACCTAATAGTTTATTAATGAGTATAAACAAAAGGATTATTTTTTTATTCAGCTTTACAATAATCTCTCACAGAGCGTCGCGATATAATATTCCGGTAACAATAACATATACACGTACGAAAAGACAAAAGGACAAGAAAGAAATAAAATTCATTGCAGATTCCATTTACATTATGGAAATTTTTACCATTTATTATGACTGTGTGTTAGAATTCAATATAAAGCAAAAACATTTTTAATAAGATATGAATTTAGGGAAGGGAATTGTTGGTAATAAACAGGGTGGTTCCATTTCTAGAATTATCAAACCTATACTTGAAACGACCGTGGTTAATTTCTAGTGATTTCACCACCATGCTCTGCCTGCCATCACTCGCTCCTCATTCTATCAGGCTCCAGTGGCATTCCATATACAAACATTGCAATAAAAAACCTATTAATTACTATTAGCACAAATAAGGTAAAATTACATACTATTAGCTTGTTTTTCAATAGCCAGCAACTTCGTACCCGTATAACTTTTTTTTATTGAAAACCAATTGAATTAAAATAAAACGAAATTTTAACTAAAACTAACCATAGCACATTTGTGAAAACCGCACACAACTCTTTAAATCGTTTCTGAGATCAGCGTGCACAAACACACAGACAAACAGACAAAATAATTATTTTGGATTCTATTACGTCGATAAAATTCTAAATTAATATTTTTTCTCTAATATATTTCATGTAGAGACAGATCAGTTACATTTTCATTTTATATACGTATGTTTTTAGTATATAGATATTATATCAATGGTTCACTGCTTGTGATGCTACTAACATTATATCAAACTTCACGAAGCAAATTTCTTAAGTTATTGCAGAGACATGACTAGCTCCAAGCGCAACGTTAATAGATTTAGTAGAGTAGTTCATCCCTTTTGATAGAAAGGCACAGCGGTTAGAATTTTTATTCGCGGGAGGGGCTTATTGAGCATGACTTTGGGATCCCAACGATTTTTCACACAGCTGTTAGAATGGCCGGCTTACTGTAAATGCGCTTGAATTTTATCTCGCTTTTGCCAGCTTACGCGAATTCCCTGTTATATATTCTTTTTATCTACCGTAAATATTTTGACGGAACGGAACGGTATTCCTTATTTTAACATTAGTTTATATTGCTTTAACTTTTTTTTTATAATATGTGTATGTATTTAAAAATACAACTAATATATTGTAATAGCCGTTTACCAGCCATTAAACATCTAACTGTTTATCTATTAATACTGGTTTTAATTAGATTTACATGGTAATGTAGTAATATAAAATAATAAAAAAACATAGACGAATGACAACAATTATTAAAATTTCTTTTACGATATACAATAACTGTACAAACATACAAAAGTAGTAGTTACTTACTTCCCAGTATTTTAAACCTATTGTTAAATATTATCTAAAAACAGATGTTGGTGCTTGATTAGTTTTATCTCCATTGCTGTTAAATCTCACCATTCAGAAAGACCGTAATAAAATAATAAATATTATTTAATTATTTTCTGCTCTTGTAATTTGTCGTAGAAAAAATGTGTAGAAAAATATGACATGTAGGCTTCTGCAAGCTTACAATTGCCTAGATTTCTATATTACAGAATAGTATACATTTACTTACTTACACTTAGGTCTATAAGTCCAAATAAAAAATCAAAATGTGTTTATTTATGTAGGTTTATTACTCCAATGATATGTCAAATCTACCATCAGTTCGAAGTGCTTTCGAGCTAACAAGAATTCACAAGAACTTCAGCTTATTCTTTTCACATGAGTTTGCACATGCATACAAAAATACAAATCCATTTTAAAATTAATATTTGGTAGAATAAAGTAACCACCAGCATATGCAATTTTGTCAAAAGGAAATAGATAAGATTAAGATAAACGGATAATATGATATGGATCGCAACCAACAACTGAAAACTGTAGTAATTATATATAAATTTGTCGACTCACAGAGTTCGTAACAAAAATCAAATAAAATAAAATATATATATATTTTATGTAGGTATGAGAATAGGATTTTTTATACTTCAAGTGAAGGTGTGGTCCACCGTAATAGTTTTTTTTTATTTTACGGTCCAATTTTATTAATGTCATTTTATTAAGAAACGGGCTTAAAAACACATACAACCACTAAATTTTTACCCTTCTACTATCAATCCCTATTTTTAACAGCAATATTAATGTTTTAATTTACCTAAGTGCATTATTATATTCCATTTATCTTGAAGTTCCAAAGAAAAATGGAAATAAATTTTATTAAATTATTTTCTATTATGTAACAATAATAATAAACAAAGAGCTACATGGCCTAGCGATTTATTAACCCCGACTTATAAAATGAGGTCGTGAGTTAAATTTCGTCGACACCAAAATTAAACTTTGTGTCAATGTATTTTTCTGACTGTCTGATTTAATATAGAAATTTTATTTGAAATTGAATTTGAGCGATATTACTTTAGTGTGAAAGCAACAATCATATTTGGCACTCGGTTTAATTATACCGATGTAAACTATAAAAATATTTATAAACAGTAATTAGTACATTTGTATATAAAAATAAAGCAACCTAATCAATTTAATTAAAATTAAACGTTCACGCAAATGTAGAGCTAAATACGTACGTAACTTCATGCAGAGATGATCTCATGATCATATCTGCATTTTATTGAAACGAATTTATGATAAACACGTTCACATATCGTGCGGTAATAAATTGTAAATGATATAATATGACATTAGTAGCCAAAATGTGTTCCTAATAAATATATACATATATAAATAATATTAATTAAACGCTGTCGCATTGTATATGAGAAACACTATTATTGAGAATCTTAACAACGAAATAAAACTCAAACTGTACTTACTTAATTGTTACAATTTTTGTGTGTGTTTGTGTTACTACTAGTATCAGAAACGGTTTAACCCATATGAGTGTGATTTTCACTAATGTATTGTGGCAAACTTCGCTTAAAAAATAACAAATATAGTTTGTTTCATTCCAATCAGTTTATAAAGCTTAAAGTTATAGCAATACGAAGTATCAGAAGGCTTGTATCAGATGCAGCCGATGTTCTTTTACAACCAATTGTAATCGATTGACATTGGAATAAACCGTATAGCATCTTTTCGGTTTGTACGCTAACAACGTTTTAATTCAATACATATATTGTGGTCATTGAGTGAGCTACATTCTAATAGATTAGGTTCACTCTTGATTTAATAAAAAAAAAACTGCACTAAACTGCATTAGTTCGACTCTGCGATTATACTACGGAGTGTTTACCTATCACTGTGAAATAAATAATGATACTATAGAGGAGATAATAATTGGACTCTTGTTCATTGAAAATTCTATGCACTGGAAGAATTTTTCTATTTTGCTAAAAAGTGTTTTAGAAAAGAAAGTTTTTTTTCCTAAAACATATCGCTCATAAACAAGCTCTTAGAGAAAATAAAATAGATGAATTTTCAAATGGAAAGATTAACTAGTCTATACCTTCAGCATCACAACCATAAATATGGTTCTGGTTATGAAGTCAAAAATCGTTATAAGTTTGTAATTTTACTGAATAGGGGACAATTTTTAATCTTTTCGTTAGGAGTTTAAAATTAATGTTTAAATTTAAATAGATATTAGATGTCACGAAATTTCTTTTTCTTTCACCTCTTGTCACTCTATGTCATACTTTATTGAAACCCTCTCTCTCTTAATAGGTGACTTAATCCATCTAAAATAATGTGCATCCATCCATAGTCCAAAGATAATTTGCATTACTGTACAACTATACAAACAAATATATAAATGCTAATATTATATGCCTACTAAATGTGATGTGAGAATAAGTTCTATACCACTAAGATGGTAAACAACACACAAAACGTCTGATATTATAAGTCTGATATTACGGTCAGTGTGCTATAGACACCCGATATGTTTGCAATATTTTTTGTACTATAAAATCTGGTGTAACTTGTTCCCGAGTCTGCACGTCTTCTTCTTATCAATCTTGATAAACGATATTCGGTTTAAACTAAGTAAATACAACCACACATCCATTTTTGTAGTAATAATACATAGTTCAATGATTATCATACAAAATATTATTTGTTAAAACTACTATATAAAAAAGTCGGACAGATTTTATTTTGTTTGTGATCGGTGAATTATGCCCTCGTTGATGCACTATGATGATATATTTTATTACTAAACATTTTCATTATAATAAATTCGTACCATTGGGTATTTTTTATTTGTTAAAATTGCATTAAAAGAGCAACAGACATGTTTCTTTCGTCCTTTTCATTTCTGAAACAGCAGGCATACCAATGGGTAGCTTATAAAAAAAATACTATTCAAAAGTCCATTAAGTTTATTTAAATAAAGATTCTTTATATTTCACTAAATACCTACCAAGCAGTATTGGTGTTTATTTCTATAAACTCTCTGTCCCTTTATCCCTATTCCCTGTCCATTCATCCATGTCGGCCCCAACCATATTACTACATACTAAGCGACCCTAGTTCACGAGCCTTCTCTATTTTTCTCGGCTTTGTTGTGCAGTTTCGCTCAACGTCCCAATTATTTATTAAAAACAAATGGGACAGTACTGTCCTACATATCAAGCGCCTCTAAAGCGTCATTACTAATGTCTGTGATTTTAATAAAATTATTATTGTCAATTTAGTTTCTAGAAAACATATGACAGGATTGCAGTCTCAAGTTAGGAACAATTGTGGCCAATGAATATATCCTACTCGTATTATTGAACTTATTTATGTATCTAACGTCAAATATTAGATATATTTGAACAGTGTTTAATTAATGGGACATATCAAAAGATCGTGGAATATTCCAACAAATTCTGGTACTATCTGCAGTTAGTGGTCTTCAGTCTACCATCAATTTTATTACGAAGAGCGTCTTTGACGCTGCTCGTAAAACACAAGTTTTAAGGGGAACTACTTTGGTCCTATTCTATCCGACTTATTCCATAAATTGCTGCTTTGTAACATTTTAAAAGACACTTTATTCTCTTAAATAATTCATATACACTTGATAATACAACTTTTTACAATATAAAGAGGAGTACGTTACTATAGGTACCTAATCTATTAACTGTACCTATTATTATAACATATGAGTAACGTTTGATTCATAACTATTTTGGTAATAGTAAATATGAACATTTCAATAATAGCCTAGACAACTTTTTGGAAACGACAGCACTAAATTTATAGCAGTATATTAATTTTTATTTAATACTTTAGTTGCTTGAGAAATCAGTACTTCTATATATTTTTTATTAGTTCGAACTAATCGCCGTTATTTTTAAGGCCCAGTATCGAAATAATTGAATTCAAAAATCAACTTGTTGATACTCTATTTTGGTATTTTTGAAAATATTATGGTTTGCAAATAATGCCTTTTTTTAAGTGCGTAAATCAAAATATCTGGATTCCTGGCTTCAATACATGTATACAATACAATTCAACACATAAATGATAAAGAATTATATCAAAATATTATTCCAATGTAGGATAATGTAGGAAAAGACATTTATAAATTGGTTCGAGACTGTATTTTCGCTATTGAGCCCGTAGATAATGTTAATAGATGGGTTTATTAAAATACGGGGTTATCGTATCTTGAGAAGCTGACCAATGTATGATTGGCCGACCAGAGTATGGCGCTACTACTAAAATCATGGAACACGTACACAGTTAAAAAAACTAGTAAGGTACGAGACGATATACGACAAACGTTCTTTTTTGAAATGATGGTACGGACATGGACGCTCGACACTAATCTAAATACGATATTCTTGAGTTTATTTTTGAAATACATTACGATGGAATATTTCTCTCGCTTTTTTACTGTGTTTGTAGCGCAGTATTCTAATGGTAATTCTAATAGTTAATCGTGGCTAATTCACCAGGAATTAACCACAATAGTTGTCAAGGTCCCAGACCACCTGAAAGCACATTGCCATTAAACAACAGTCCTAAATGGGCATATTGTTGATATTGAATTGGTTGAATTAAATTAAATGTGCATATAAAATAAAATCGGATGATACCTATAAGTATTTGAATATATAAATATTTCTGATGTTTCTTTACAAACGATATGAAGGGAGCAGGTATGTTTTTGTTTACATTTTCCGTCACTAGAAAAAAAAAAAAATCTCTTAAGAGACATATGATGTACGAGTAGGTAGATTCTAAAATGTCTTAGAATCTACCTACTCGTACATATAAACCTCTGTCATAATTGTGATATCTATTATCAGAAAAAAAAATCTTTATTCATTGACACTACAAATTCACATTCTGAAGAACTGGAACTATTAAAATCTTTTCTTATTGTCTAAAATAAAACTACGCACATATGTATTTGTATTTTAAAGTTACAATATTAGTGGTTTCGTAACGTCGTGCCTGTTTTAGGCACGTAATCTTATAAAACTAGTAAATAAAATAATCCATTCAGTAGTCAGCAGTCGCACATCCGTCTGTAAGTACGGATTCATTCACTAAGAAGCTCCGGCCAATAGCAATATAGGCATGTGGGTGGTTATTGACCTTAGACTGTTGATCTGATCAAGATGATCAATATAGGTACACATTTAGTGTAAAATTCGCGTGTATACTATTTATTATCACTTTCAATAAGTACAAGCTACTTAATATTGTTATTTAAAAATGAACCTTAATACAAAAAGCTTTAATAAAACTATGTTTAGAGAAACACGAATTTTTCATTCAAATCAATGGTATGTTTTAACAATAATTTTAATTTCATTGATCTCTTTACAAATAAAATACAAACAAAGGAAATATTGGAATGTCAGATTGTAAACATTGTCAGCGAGTAACTGGTTAATAACTCACCTGGAGGTCTTCATAACGAGATCTCGAGGAGCCGGTGGTATTGGGCCGTTCCAGTAACAAAAGCTGTGTTAGTATTATCACACCGAACACCGCAAAGAACATAATAAAGATGAAGAAACTGATGTTGGCGCGCTCCTTGGCGCGGTACGGAGCCGCGCGGCCGCGCCACCTCATCGTACCGACTATGCACTCGCATGAGCACGAGAAACAGTTGCCGCTAACACGCGCGCCACAAAACTAATACGAATCATCAGGGCCGCGGCGCCATACTGCCTCGCGCTCCGCAGCCCCACCAGGGGACACCTTTCCACTCAAACGTGACGTACAACACAATGAACAATTGACAAGACCGCACACTGGGTTACAAGTTGAAGGCGAATGTTATCTACCCAAAACACAGATGATACTTTTATAAACACATGTAGTTCCATAATAATTCTTTTTTATAACAAATATAACAGCAGTAGAACTTCAGTAATTCTATTGCGTGACAACTGGGAATATTAGGAAGCTAATATAAAAAAATAATTTAATTCAGTTTTTTGGTACAAAGTAATAAAATTATGTAGATAGATCTAGACATTTGCAACATACAGTAAAGAAGAAGCACATATATGTATATATATATATATATATGTGTGCTTCTATCTATATCTATAATGCTTATCAGTTCTTTAATAAGAAATCTTGTCCAAACTGAAATATAAAATATATTCCAGTTTCGACAAGATTTCTTATGCATTCTGATTCTGTCTGTCTGATACTGTCCAGTGTGTGATAAAATTATATTACCAATCGGTAGTATTTAAAATAACTAGCAACCCTATTAACATGGGACGCATGCGCGCCGCCCGCCCTACGTTCAATGACTTAAATGGTGTTTTGCCTCTCTTAATGAGAAATGATATTATTTTAATTATAAAGCGCAATTGTAGGTAGCTACTATTTATATTGCATGTAGCTCTGTATAAGGGAAAATGTTGATTAAGTTTCAATTATACTTAAAGATATGTACCTAACTAATATAGGATAGATTGGAGAGAGAATAATCGAATTCTATTTAGAATTCTGGTGCCTCTTTATAGTACTGATAGTACGAATTCTGCCATATTAAAATTTTTATATTTGATTTTGGAAAAAGAATATATAAAAAAGACCTGTTAATTTTTGAAGCACTTTAAAAAGAAGGAAGTTTTTTATAATGTATGATACTGGAATATCTTCGGACAGACAGATATGCGGACGTGCGCGCTACAAATTTTAAATTAGTTATGAATTTCACTACTTTATATTCTGCTACTGTATAAAAAAGCTCCTTATCGGTCCATCGGCTTCGAAACTGCTATGCATGAAGATTCGTTGTTATATATAATCCACTAGTTAATTGCCAAAAAGCAAAACATATTTGTAAAAATTAGTTTCATTTGTAACCGAATGTTAATTAATTGATGTAAGTTCTAACAATTGCAGAAAGAGCTATCAAATGTAGTACAGTACTACTTTGAAAAATACAAACAAAAAAGGGAGAACGTCCTCCTTTATAAGGACCGTTGCGGTACCCCTAGCGAATAAAATTCTCGGCTCTCATTTTATATTTGCGTCGTAAAAACTATATCAGTTTTTAATGGAATTATCACTATATGAAGCATTTGTAATAACATTATTTGTACTGGGCCCCCAGGCGTTTGCCTACACTACGTAATGGTAAATCCATCCCTATATTATCAGGTTGATTATTTGTATTAACTATCAGGTTGACCTCCAGACAGTTCCCCTGCGATACACTTTATTCATAGTGAAATCGTCACAATGAGCTAACTAATTTGAATTCAAGTTCATCCTATAATCCTACAACGGTGCTCTACTAGTAAATATTATCCGCTAAAACTGGTGCATCATACTCATATCATAATAATACATAAAAAGCGAAATTGCGAATAGTTGCTTTACATCACAGATATAATAATATTACATAGTTATATTACCTAAGAGTGTAGGTACAGAAACTAATACATAATATTAACAAGGCTCGATATGAGCAACTCACACCAAAATTAAATGCTAATATTTTGAGCGATCCTACCTCGTAACACATTTCAAGCTCCTAGATATCGCTAGGTTCCTTATAGTCCATGAGCCATAATTTCGTCAATCATTTATTCTCGCCCGGAAATTCTTATAGTTGTATTATGAAGCATTTTCTTCATAGTGTGAAAAATCTTCAAAGCACCATCCTCCCGTCAGAGAGATACTACGAGGCGGTCCGTGGGATTCTTACCCACTAAAAACTAATCAGTGTAGGTACACATAAGCGCCATTGCCGAAATCGTGAAGTCACGTAAGCATTCTACCATGACTCCGGAGTCGTTAGTCCGACATGTAGGTGTAGAGCAGGCCCAATCTCGTTGTTAGGGCAACCTACTTCGTCCTGCTCTATTATAGCATATGCCTCCGGGGTCAATTAGTTAGGCAAACAGACTCCTTCGCCTCCTTCCGCGATATAATTTCCTCCTTCTGAGGAGCTTACCGTCAGCCACGATCTTTCGCTACTCACCATAATTCGAACTTCATTCGGCAGCGAGAGATCTATTCCCAAAATCGCGTGAGGTCACGGTGCTTCCCCGGAAAATACTGGACTCTCTTATATAAACATGAAGCCTATTGTGAAAGTCAGCTCCGGTTCCAAGGGTGGATTGACAAACCTCAAAGAGACCAAGAGAGTCCTCTTTAAATAACACTTTTTTTGATAAAAATAGACCTTAAGCACAAGAACTTTAAAATTTTATTTACCAGATGTATCGTACATCAATAAAGGTTTTTTTTAGAGGATGATAATGGAATGGTGCTCCCGCCAGCGCTAACGGTTTACGCTGGTGGGGCATCAGTGGAAGATGATAGGATGAACATGAAGTCAGATCAGTTAGCCCAGCGTGACAAATTCACAGGGAACCGCGTGGAGGTCGATCTGACATGGTACATTGCAGGCAACGGGATCATTAGTCCACAATACAATTATTCCCAAATTGATAGGGGTCAAGACAGCTTATCTACTGGTTAATATAAGGCGTTAACCATTATAGAATTTTTCAACCTGGAGAAAATTGATCAGATTTATCTGTTCCGGCTCTTTGGGTACATCTATCTAAATCTGTATCATCTGAAGCAATCTGAAGTAATCTATTATATTACAAACACCACTACAATATTAATCAATTCCAATACTGTCTATGTCAATTTTGTCAACCTATTAGTGTCAGTGTGTAGTACTACAGAATTTCTTATTATTTTCAATCAGATTTCTGGCTTATTAGGTTATTTGTAGGCCACCGACGATATCGACAAAACGTTCTATGGCGACGTTTTGGCTAATCAAAAATTTTATCTACAACAAAAAGTAATAGAGAAGTTGCAAAATAAAACATAATTAATATTCTGGGTAATGGTCATGTTGTGGTATGCTAGTAGACACCAATACAAGCATTATGGGTAGGATTTATCCTGAAAATTAGGAATTTGGGTGGGAATCGGAGCAACATTTGGACTAAAGCTAGTTGGTCGTCTGGCAACACTGTCTGGTTCTCTAATGCTCTAAATAGTAAGGTAGTCTGTGTTCACATATTTTGTATTATAGTCACTTCCCAATTTCACTTCTGTTTCTATATATTAATACAAAAATATAAATAATAATGGTACAAAGCGGTCCACCAGATGATAATTTATTTAGAGCTTTCATAAATGCTGTTTACAACACTATCGATAGTCCGGTGACTTGGTTCAGAGGTATATTTATTTTGATCTGCACTTGTTGTTATATAAGTGCGTATTACTAATTTTTCTGCTATTATTTTAGAAAGAGTTGTAGAACCAAACCAGAAGAAGTATCCTTGGTATCACCAGCAATTCCGTCGTGTACCTACAATCGATCAATGCTATGAAGACGATGCTGTTTGCGATTTTGAAGCCAATGTACAATTCAAACGTGATAGGTTAGTTTCATCTGTGCTAATTGACCTGACTTGACCACCATCTGATCATGTTCCCCTGGCACACCACTGACCACATGTTCGTAATACAATATATGTGCAACAAGAAAGTCATTTCATTATGACCACTAATGGAAAATATTGTAAAACTTTCAGTAACATTTGTCTTTAGTGTCATAAATATGTAAAGAAATCTTTATGTTATGAAAAGTTTTTCTACTACGCATTTATGAATTTTCTCTGTTTTGTGCAAAGAAATTGTTTTCTTTTTTAATAATACAATTAAAATTTTTGTTAACATCCATATTGAGTATTTAAGATGATATGTACCATATTTAACATTGATAAGACTTAAATAAAATATTTCAGAGCCGTTGACACTGAAATTCTTACTATACTGCGTCAACGATATGAAGACTGCATGATGTATGAGGCACCTGATTATTTGACCTGCAAACCTCTTTGGGACAGATACAAGGATAGTGAAGAAGCTTGGTTTATTAAGTGTAAGTATGGATTAGAAATGTATTAGAATTGTTATTACCTGATAGTAAAAAGCTGTTAAACAAACAAAACAAAACAAACATGAAATCAAAAATAATTTATTAATGTAGGACATTCAGTTGCTTATGAAATGTCAAGGTTTTTGTATTAATAGATTCAATTGTGAAGGACTGGATAGGATAACAGATTAATTATCAACTGTCAATATATGGTGAATGTAACACAGACTACATTTTGAGTACAATGAGACAATGGCAAGCCTATCACTCACTCTCAGATTAAGGTTTAATGTATATGAGTGATTCTTCCCTAGTGAATTAGTTACAAATATAAATTGACACAACATAATCTCTTGGGCCTAAATTCAGAGTATTAAACCACTAAGCCAGGACTATCACAAATAATGGAATTAGGTGTTATATTCAAATTCAAATTCAAAGCCTTTAGTAATTGACACAAAATTATACAATCTAACATAATATTTAATTAAAAGTTTAAAAAATAAAAAAAATTTTAGTTATATATATGTTTTGTTACTTCTAATTCTGCACATCAGTCTCTGAGTCTATGTGTCCTTTATACACAAAGACCTCCACCAGTGTTTTTATGTGTTCCTATCTTTTGCTCATCAGAGCCACAGTGGGCCGGCAATTTTTCTAAGGTCATCAGACCATCTCTTGTACTGTCTTCCTCATTTTCATTTCATTTTATAATGGGGAATCCACTCAGTTACAGTTTTTGTCCATCTCATATTTCCCCTTAGCATGTGACCTGTCCACTTATACTTCAATCTTTTTATTTTAGTTGTAACTTCATCCCAACCTGTGAT